TTTACTCCTTCTGCATCCCTGGTAATAAAAAACATTTACTGTGTTGACAACTTGTCCAGATTCTGTTACTAACATTCATAGATTTGGGCCTGGACTGAAGCCTGGGCAGTAAGCCCAGAGACACAGGCTGAGTCCTTTCTTAGAATCTGGTTCCTGGCCCTTCCAGATGGCACAGTGGGTTAAAGTGCAGCACTACGAAACTAGCGGCAGCTGCTTCAGCACCATTTCTGGGCCAGGGAGGTGACCCACATGGCGTGACAGACCTTTCTTGACCCGCCCGCTGCTCCCCTCAGCAATGTACTTCGTCCAATCTGCCTGTTATGTTCCCTACTCTGTCTCTGATGAATCCTCTCACTGCCTTTTCACCTCTGGCCTATACCCCAGTTCTGAATGCATAAATAAATAAATCTTAAAAAAAAAACAACCTAGTTTCCTCTGCTCTGTCAATGAGGGTCCAACAGGCTCATGCCTTCTAGCTGAGATTTAGCTTTGCAGTCCACACATCTTATACTTTCTCTGTATCTTTCCAATTCAATTTTCAACCAGTTTTGTTTGTATTCGGGTTGAACACCTGATTTGGATGGATAGAATTTTGCACCCCACTTCAACCATGGTCACTTTACTTTTTGATTGAACTCTTTGCATTTCTTTAGTTTGGATGGAACTTTACATTTGTCTGGGGCTTGGTCACAACTCTGCAGTCATTTTATTGATAAGCAAGTGTCAGTGCTCCTGATCAGTGTGGAATGCCTGCCCAGTGCCTGAGGAACTTTGTTCATCTAGTCCAGGGCTTTTATTGCCATGTGGAACCCCAATTTCAGTCTAGAGCCATGGCTCAGCTACTTTTACCTTCTGGCATCTACAGTTCTCAGTTGAATCATCTGTTTTACCTTCTGGCATCTACAGTGCACAGTTGAATCATCTGTGGGGCTTTTTTCTTGTATTATGTATTTTTATATTTTATATATATTTTTACATTATTCTTCATTTTGTACAGTTTCCATCTCAGTTGTAATCCTCGTAGACTTCCCACCACCACTTCTCCTGTGTGCCATCTGCATAGTCCTGTATGCTCTTCTCATTCCCAGTTTGATCCTATTCCCCTCTCTTCCCC